AGGGAGAGAGGGAGAGAGGGAGAGAGGGAGAGAGGGAGAGAGGGAGAGAGAGAGAGAGAATGAATCCCAAGCAGGCTCTGCACTATCTGTGCAGAGCCCAATGCGGGGCTTTATCCCATGTCATGACCTGAGCCGAAATCAAGAGTTAGATGCTTAACTGACTGAGCCACCCAGATACCTCCCAGCAGTATTTAAAATTTTTAACGTTTATTTATTTTTGAGACAGAGAGAGACAGAGCATGAACAGGGGAGGGGCAGAGAGAGAGGGAGACACAGAACCCGAAGCAGGCTCCAGGTTCTGAGCTGTCAGCACAGAGCCCGACGCAGAGCTCGAACTCACGGACTGTAAGATCATGACCTGAGCTGAAGTCGGACGCTCAACTAACTGAGCCACCCAGGTGCCCCAGCCCCCAGCAGTATTTTAGACAGACACCCACACATCTTTCCTCCTCACTTATCAAGGACCAGCGAAGACATGCTTTGGGCATGACATTTTGGTGTGATGCTTCAGACCACAATAGAATTTGATCCCATCTCTACACTCAAATAATATAAATCAAGTCCAATCCTCAGAGCATATCCCACATCCATCACAACACTACCTAGTATTGTGGTCCTAGGTCCTTCCCAGCCCATTCTACTCTCCTTATGACCATCACCCACACAGCTTTCCCTGAAGAATGTTCTGTACTAACAGGCATTCCATGAAAAGGAAAGGGGAAAGAAATACGAATTACTGGTTAAATCAAGTCTACAAGCCAAAGTTTGTCTTAAATAGCTATAGACCATTTTACTGTTTTTAGTGTCTTCCTTTAAGATCCTTAAAGGTAACCACTAAACCACACATTCTTAGGAGATGAATTCCACATGGCTTTAAGACGCAATTGTTTTAACGGTGTTTTTGATAGATGGAGGTGAATGTGTTGAAACTTTTATTAACATTCAGTTTAAAAAGCTTTACACCTGCGGCATGCCAAGATCTAGAAGATTCTTAAAGAAGTTACCCATTAGGGTGTGGTCCTTGGTTTAGAAGTCGTGGGGCCTTGGTAATTTTTTGTTAAGTGGTTTAAGAATTCACAGTCTTGGTCCAGGGCTGGTAATATTGTGCCATTTTTTTCTCCCTTCAGGGAAGAAGAGACACTATTATACCTGCAGGCTCCCAGCATGTTAGTGCCTTACAGGTGACTCTTTAACATCTTCTATGGATTAACAATTTGATCTAAATCAGCCTCAAGGCTCCCTCAGAAAAGAGGGTGAAGGAGAAAAGCACCAAAATATTTCTCAGGCTCTACCTTAAATATAGTTTATGTGTGTGGTAAAACATACGTGCCATAAAATTCACCACTTTTAACGATTTGTAAGTAGAGAGTTCCATGGCATTAAGTTCCTTCACATTTCTGTGCAACCACTACCATCCGTTTCTAGAACTTTCTTGTCATTTCAAACCCAAGCTCTGTACTTATTAAACACTAACTCCTCATTTCCTTCTCTTCCAGCTCCTGGCACCCACCATTTTCCTGCAGGCCTCTGTGAGTTTGATACTCCTAGGTCCCTGATGTAAGTGAAATCATATGGTATTTGTCCTCTTGTGTCTGGATTATGTTTAAGTGCAGTTTTGATACATAGAACAGTGCCCTTACAGTGAGTAAGGACACAGTGTAGGTAGTTGTTACTTCTACATCAGAAGTCTTTAGCCTGGAGCCCTTGGATGAGTCCTAGGAATCTGAAACTCCTTTAAGAGATGGGTTTCCTACTTACAAAGTTTTATAGGAGCCTTAACCCAGAAGATGCTGATTGCTGTTCTGGATCCTCTCTGTTTTGAGAACACCCCCTTGGTCCCAAACCAGTATTGACTGACTTCAGGTAGCAACAAACCACCAACATGGTCGTATTTGTTGTATGGCTCTGGATTTTGCTGACGATTCCAATTTGATGCCTAATGGAGTGTCACTCATTCCGTAAAACCCCAGTCCTATGTTTAGCGGGCCACTTAAGAACTTTGAGCTCACCTTCAAATGAACACTATCTAATGCAAACGCAACTCAAAACCACAATAAGCCACAACTTCATACCCATTACAATGACTAGGATCAAAAAACCAGAAAACAACACGTATTGGTAAGGATGTTGAAAAATGGGAACCCTTGTGCATTGCTGGTCGGAATGTACAATGATGCATTCCCTGTGGATAGTAGTATAGCAATTCCTCAAAAGTTAAAAATAGAATTGCTATATGACCCAACAATCCCACTTCTGTATATACACCCAAAAGAACTGAAAGCAGGAATTCCAAACAGGTATTTGTTTGGTATTTGCTCATACTCAAAGCAACATTATTCCCAATAGTCAAAAGAACAGTCCAAGTAAAGATCCATGAGGAATGGATAAACCAAAATGTAGTATATACACACAATGGAATATTACTCAGCCTAAAAAAAAAATAAAGGTGATTCTGACACTGGCTACAACATGGATGAACCTTGAGGGCATTATGCCAAGTAAAATGAACCAATCACAAAAGCACAAATACCGTATGATTCCACTTACATGAGCTATTTAGAGTAGTCAAATTCACGGAGACAAAATGTTAAATAGTGGTTGTCAGGGACTTCGGGGGAGGAAGAATGGGGAGTCCATGTTTACTGGGAACAGAGCTTCACTTTGGAAACATGAAAGAGTTCTAGAGAGGATGGTGGTGACTGCTACCCAGCAACGTGTACGTTTTTTTTGTTTGTTTTGTTTTGTTTTTTGAGAGAGAGAGTGCACACACAGGTGAGGGACAGAGGGAGAAAGAATCTTTTTTTTTTTTTTTTTTTAACATTTGTTCATTTTTGAGAAACAGAATAAGAGTGAGGGAGGGGCAGAGAGAAAGGGAGACACAGAATCCAAAGCAGGCTCCTGGCTCCGAGCTGTTAGCACAGAACCCAGTGCAGGGCTTGAACTCACGAACCTCGAGATCATGACCTGGGCTGAAAAGTCAGACACTCAATCTAGTGAGCCACCCAGCCGCCTCAGAGACAGACAATCTTAAGCAAGCTCCACACTCCACTCTGAGCCGACTTGGGGCTCAAATCTTAAGACTTAGGTTTGATCTTATGATCCTAGGACCATGACCTGATCCAAAATCAAGAGCTGGATGTTTAACCAATTGAACCACCCGGGTACCCCTGTGAAGGTACTTTTAATGACCATGAACTATACACTTAGAAATGGTTAAAATGCTAAGTTTTATGTTGCACATATTTTATTAAATAAAACACATATAAAGAAATGTCTAATGCTGTCTGATCATTATTCCCTGCTCCTGCAGAAAGTTAAAAGCCTTGTGTGCAGTTTATCCCAAACTCTGTGTTCTGAAAAGAAACAAAATGCAGTAAGTAGCAAAATCATTTTTCAGAAGCTGGGACTGCCTTAGTTGGGTTTTTCAGTAAAAAAAAAAAAATAGTAATAATAATTTCAGGGGTGCCTGGGTGGCTCATTCGGTTAAGCATTCGACTTTGGCTCAGGTCATGATCTTGCCTTTCCCAAGTTCCAGCCCCACATCAGACTCTGTGCTGACAGCTCAGAGCCTAGAGCCTGCTTCAGATTCTGTGTCTCTGTCACTCTCTCTCTCTCCCCCCCTTCCCTGCTCATGTGTCTCTCTCTCAAAAACAAAAACATTTAAATAGAGACAAAAAATAAATCACTGCAGCATCATAGCCCCTCCCTCTTGCTCCCTTCATCACCACAAGAGGAAAGCAGGGGGAAAGACAAAAAAAAAAAAAAAACAAAATTCTAAACCAGAGACAGCAGGGCAAGCCTTTATGGGACTAGAGTGATTTCCAGGAGCCAGGAAGCTGCCCCTCAAAGGCAGCCCATTCAACATGGACGGGGGGAGAAACTCAGAGCTAAGTCACAAGAGAAGCCCACCTGTCCGGTCACCCACCTCCCAGGGGCAGCACAGGCACCTGCCCAGTGATCACCTGCTAAGGTGCCTCACCAGGAGGTGTGAGTGCTCCTTCCCGCTCTGCAATCACTTACCTCACAAAAATGGTTCTCGATAATGTTCAAAGCAGTCAGGGCAACCTGAGGGTTCTCATGAAGTTGCAAGGCCTCAATTTTATCAACACCACCGATTTCTTCTATCAGGAGACACATGTTTTCCTTCTCTGAAAGCTTCTCTGCTGCCTGTGGGCATGTAAGAAAAAAAGTTCTTTGGAGGCGGAGCTTCGCCTCAGGAGAGTCAAAGGCTCCTGTTCCAGAATGGGCAGCCATAGTTTTATTTTTCCCTAATTAAGACTGCAGGATCTTACTCCTCTTTTGGGTATTTATAGTACACATATTTAGGTTTATATTAATTGCACAAAATACAATTTTTGCCAAGTAAGCTGCCCTCCACAAATACATTGTTATTACTGTTTAATAGCTATCTCCCTTCTAATTAATGGAAATGGTTTAAAATACAGTTTGAGGGGGGGCACCTGGGTAGCTCAGTCAGTTAAGCATCTGACTTTGGCTCAAGTCATAATCTCACAGCTCATGAGCTCGAACTCCACTTTGGGGGAGCCCTGCTTCTCTGTCTCCCCTTCTCTGCCCTTCGTGGTATTCTCTCTCTTCCCCGGTCTCTCTCCCCTTGCTCACTTGTGCCCTCTCACTCTCAAAAAAAAATAGTAATACAGTTTGAAAGAATGTTCAAGTAATGCTTTATTTTTGAGAGAGAGAGAGAGAGCATGAGCAGGGGAGGGGCAAAGAGAGAGGGGGACAGAGGATCTGAAGTGGGCTCTGCACTGACAGCAGTGAGCCCAATGTGGGGCTCGAACCCACAAACCATGAGATTACAACCTGAGCCGAAGTCGGATGCTCAACCGACTGAGTCACCCAGGCACCCTAAGTAATGCTATTTAGATAGAGGTGTTCTGGCCCTACCCTCACCGTAAAGCCTTGAGAGGTAAGACTAAGGGGACCCTGAGCAACACCATGGCAAATAACCAAGTCCCTGGAAACAAATAACATGAGTGGATTTAATCCAATGCTGATCATCGGATTTGTCATCTGGGGCTGTTCATTCATTCAAACACTTGTACATAGACTGTGGGCGAGGCCTACAAAACTAGAGCTCAAGATGGGATTTAGAAAAGGCCTTTTCATAACTCATTTTTGGGGCAGACAGGTAGATAATTGTTGCAATACAGAAAGTAGAACACAGTAAATGATCAGTGGTTTACGTTATAGAAGATGTACATAAAAGGCTTGGGAAGTAACACACCTTCTTGAAAAACAGTGCTGCGCCAGGGCCAACCATAGGAAACTCCCAGCATTCCCAAAACAAGGAATGGCAAGGACAACTTTTTGAAGGGTTAAGTGTTGCTTATTAGGAGAAGAGGGAATAATCCAGCTAGCTAAATAGCCTATTTGGGGAAAGAGAAGTAAAGAAGCAGCTTTGGTGTCATCTCTGAAGGGTTCTGCTCTTTATTTTGTGAGCAATAAGAAAACCTCCTGTGGTCCAAATTAAACCTTATTTAGGTCACACCATCTACCTGATGAGAGTCTGTACTGTTTTGTCTAAAGCTGGACACTCTTTGGTCCTATCTGGGGTCCAAAATGAGTTTTGGCTTTCAGTGAAGAAACCAAGGCAGGACCAATGAGCTAGCATAGCCTCAGAAAGAAAGCTGGGGGATGTGGGATGACCCAGGGCAAGCAGAGCCTTGGAGAAGGATTCTGGATGTTGGCAGAAGAGCAAACAGCCCCAAAGTCACTTCAAGCTGCACTCTGCCAGCCATTAGAGGCTCTCTGCTACCTTGTCCTCCTAACCTGCTATTCCAGTGCCTTTCTCTGATCTATCAGATGTGGTTTTCCCAGATGCCTCCAAGGAAAAAAAAAATCCCAAATGTTTAATTCAAATGAAACAGATGAAGTTCAATTTCTCCAGCCCACAAGTGTGCTTTCACCAATGTGTTATGTCGTTATGTCCAACTTTGTCTATGGGCAGCCAAGTCTCTATGCTTCATCCATGTGATTTGCTCAGTCTTCATGTCTAATTGGGTGCTATTTCAAATCTGTTCTTGACTCAGGTCAGTTCTTTCTAAGACAGTTACATGAAAAGGATGATTAAAGTGAGCTTTTAAAAGGAATCCCCTGGTGTTACTTTGAAATTCTTCAAACGGCTTCGTCGCATATAAAAGGACCTTAACCAGATGAATATAGCCAGCCTTCAAGATGGCCTCAGATGATCTCTAACTCCTGATATTCACACCCTTGTATAGTTCCCTCCCATGTTGAGTGGGGCTGATCTGTGTAACCAATCCATTCCATGTTGTTGGAATGACTTCCAAGGTTAGGTCATAAAAGCCACTGGGGCGTCCACCTTGCTTTCCTAGATTGCTTGTTCCAGAGGAAGCCAGCTACCATGATGAGAATACACATAAATGGTCCTATGAAGAGCTCCAGGTCCAGGAAAGTGACAACTTTCCAGGCATATGAATGAGCCATCTTGAAAGCTGCTCCTCAGCCTCCATCAAGCCTTCACATGAAACTGCAGCCCCAGTTGACACCTTGAATCTCATAATAGACCCTGAGCCAGAACCATCTAGCTAAGCTATCCCCAGATTCCTAACCCCAGAAACTAGATGAGATAATAAAGTAAAAGCTTGGTTTGGGAACATAATTCGTTCCAGAAACATGCTCGTAATCCAACACACTTGTCTATCAAAGCTAATTTCCCCATAAGAAATAATGGGAACTCAGATGAATCATTCCACAACCCCAAAATATTCATATAAAAATCATTATAATACTGTAATATAATACAAAATAAATACAAGGTATAAAGAAACACTAATTAACCTGCACTTATCTTTGAAAATCTTTATGGCTGGTGTGAAGGAGACAAGGGAGAGGAGGGTTATTGTGTGGGACAAACTTCACTATCACTAACGGAATCACTGCTATCTATTGGCTCAATAGAATCTTTTTCTTTTCATGCAACTTTAACAAGGAGCCTATCCGATGACATTGCTTTTGCTCCTTTTGAGGATTTTGCGGAAATAACATTGCATTGTTGTTAAACAGATTAATTGCTCACACTGCTACAGTCTTATTTGTGTGGTGCTTTTCTACAAAATTTTGCACTATCTCCCACATTTTACACATCTCCATAATCTCATTTGAAGTGAGGGATTCCTCTGCCTTTTTCTTCTCTCCTCTGCAGAGGCCATCTCCTGCAAAACCTCTTGCTGTTATTCACGAAGCAGACCCATCAGTCTGTCAGTGGTCAGCTCCCAGCCATGTTCCTCTACCAGCTCTTGAATGTCATCCTCATTCACCTCCAGTCCCATGGCCTTTTCCAAGAACACAATTTCATCAACAACTGCTGGCTCCTATTCATAAGCAAGCCCCTCTAAGTCATGTCCAAGAATGCAATCGGGCCACAGTTTTCTCCAAGCAAAATCAAGGGTTCTCTCGGTGATCCCATACCAGGCTTTATCAATGATCTTGAGGCAGTTCATGATGTGCAAATGATTTTTCCAAAACCCTCGGAGGGTAAGGTTTGTTCCTTTAGTCACCTTGAAGCATTGCTGAAATAGTGCTTTGCTATGAAGCTTTTTAAAGTTCGAAATGAACCTCCTGATCCATGGGCTAGAAAATTGGAATGGTGTTGGGAGGAAGGAACTTGACCTTAATGAACTCAAGTTCCTTCAGTAAGTGGTTCTCAAAGCCTGGCAGGTGAACAGGAGCATTATCCATAACCAGTAAGGTTTTGTGTGACAAATTCTTTTCTAAAATTCTGCAGGACTGAAGGCCTCATTGATCCACCCAATGAACAAGATATGAGTGACCCAAGACTTACTGTTGGACCTCCACATAATGTTTAACTGGCTCTTCTGCACCTTGCATTTCTTGAAGGCTCATGGATTCTTGGAATCATACACGAACAGGGGCTTGACTTTAAAATCCCCACTTGCGGGGCACCTGGCTGGCTCAGTAGGTCGAGTAGGTGGCTCAGTAGGCTGACTTCGGCTCAGGTCACAATCTTGCAGTTGGTGAGTTTGAGCCCCACATCAGGTTCTGTGTGGACAGCTCAGAGCCCGCTTAGAATTCTGTGTCTCCCTCTCTCCCTTTTCCCTCATTCACACACACACACATGCACACCCTCTGTCTCTCTCAAAAATAAATCATAAAAAAATAAAATAAAATCCCCACTTGTGGGGCACCTGGGTGGCTCAGTCAGTTAAGTTTCTGACTTTGGCTCAGGTCATGATCTCATGGTTCATGGGCTCAAGCCCCACGTCAGACTCTGTGTGGACAGCTCAGAGCCTGGAGCCTGCTTCAGATTCTGTGTCTCTGTGTCTGTCTGTCTGTCCGTCTCTCTCTCTGCCCCTCCCCAGATTGTGCTCTCTGAATAATAAACTTAAAAAATTATTAAAAACAAAATAAAATCCCTGCTTGCATTAGCACCAAGCATGAGGGTGAGACGGTCTTTTGTGGGCTTGTGACTGGGCATTATGTGCTCTTATCTTGTAATGTCGGTCCTCTTTGGTATCTTTTTCCAAAAAAAGCCCTGGCTCATCAAGTTAAAAACTTGTTCTGGCAGGTCACACTTGGAAACCATGAGTTTCTGGAACTCGGTGGCAGTAGCTTTAGCTGCCTTAGCATCAGAACGCGCAGCCTCTCCATGTCTCGCAACACTATGGATGTCACTTCTCCTCTTAAAGTTATCAAACCAGTCCCTGCTTGCTTTGAAGACTTCATTTTCTGTTGACATACCTGGCAGTTTACTTACAGGGTTGGTGTACAAGGCCTTTGCCTTCTTGCAGACAAAGTTCTTGGGCACAGCATCACCTGCTAGTTTCTTCTACCTAAAACAGAAGCAACTTTTCTACATCTTCCAGAACATGTGGCCATTGCTTTGATATTTGATATCCTTTTGCTGCATCCAGCCCCCTTCTTTCTTCTTTAATATTGTGCAAATGGTCAACGTCGACTTCTTCTAAAATCTTGCAGTTTTAGCCACTCACATACCTCGTTCATACTTCTTGATTTCCTTCGTCACTTCCACCGTAGTCATCTCCTTATTACCATCTTTCTTTTCAATCTTTTTCTGCCTGGGGGCCATGTCTAAGCTCGCATGGATGCTGACTACAGTAATTATTAAACTCTTGTCATATACTATATTTAATGTAACTAGCAATAAGGCATAGAGTAAAGGGTCTATATCTACAGGCAACCTGACCTAGAATGGGAGAATTCCTAAGCTTACTCTTGTATGGAAAAGCAAAGGACTGTCCACAGGTGCTTTGAAGTGACAAAAAATACACTAGTGCCAGTTGTGGGCACCTTCCAACATTCTGAAAAATCGTCAATTTCTGCCAAACACTGCAGCCTGAAACTGAGCATCCAAGCATGGAAGATGATCGCCCACAATCCAGTAGCAAGAGAGAGAGAAGAACCATTGGCTCAGTTGTGAATCATGGGACATTTGGCATCATGTATGACTTGTATTGCAAGGCATAGATTGTTTATCAGGTTAAAACTTATTAGAAATGTTTGCTTGTCTTGTAGAACATGCACAGAACAAGTTACTCACAATCCAAGGTTTTATTGTATTTGTTTTAGACCAGTAGGGAGTAACTGATCATGCAGCAATATAGAACTGACACAAATGGTTTATGAACATTGGCTTAATTTGCCTTTATTTCAGAAATAAAACTTTCCTGGAGTTCTAATTCAAGGCTTTGTAGTCCAATTTCAGCATCTATCTCTGCTAACTTCTTGCTTCTCTTTCAGGTGTATCCTATGTTTTAGCCTTCTAGAAGAGCCAGCCATGTGGTGTACAGGACTGCTTTTCCCGGCTTCAAACATTTGATTGGTTTCTCCATCTCACTCAGAGTAAGCCAAGGTTTTCACATACCTTATGTGATATGGATGCTCTGAGCCTGACCACCACCTTCCATCCCTTTGCTCCCGCCCATCCTTGAGCCCTCTTTCCCCAGATATCCATAAGATTCACTCATTTCTCTTTGGTCTTTGCATGCATGTTCTTCCTGAGGCAAGTTTCTCCTGACTACTACATTGACGGGATCACCATTACCTTCCCGCTCTGAGGCATCAGCGACTGACCCTTCATCACATAAACTCCCAGTTGTTGGGTCTGTTTCTCTCCCCATTAATATAGAAGCTCTACCAGAGCAAGGACTTTGTTCTGTGGTATCCTGAGCATCTGAAACAATGTTAGGCATATGGTCACTCACTTGAAAAAATGAAGATGGGCCTTCTTTGAAAGGCCTCTTGTTTTTGTTTTCCATAGGATGCATGAACAGGAGGAAGGTTGGGGGAATGGAAAGAGAATCCACATAGGGGTTTTAAGAACCAAAATAAACGCCTTCGGTTTGGAGACTGCTATTTCAAAACCAACCTGCTTAAAAAAAACCAAAACAAAACAAAACAAAACAAAAAAACCAATCTGCTTAGAGCAGCTCACCTTGAGGATAAGAGAGATAACATCAAGGATGATGGTAACAATTTTGGGGTCTTGGATGGTAAGCAGATTCACCAGTGGCTCTAAGACTCCAGAGTGGACAAGCTGGATCAACTGGTCTATGGTGCCTCCAGTTGTGAAGTTTGCCACGGTCCAAACAGCCTCTTTCTGGACTTTAAATTCTCCCTGAAGAAACAATGTTTACAATCTTTATGGATCCTGAAGAACTTAAATATAGCAATGCTAACTTAGTTCAATTTCTAGGTAGGCTGGTGACAACCAAGACTGTATATATAATTTACGTCGAACACATCAGCAATTTGCCTCTAGTTCTTGAACAGAGGATAGCACCTTTGAGAAGCCAAGGAGCAGACAGGCTCCCATTAGGACTTAGAGGGAAGTTCTAAGTTGGAATGGACTCATTTCCTTAAGTCAGGTTATGGGAATAATATAATGAACATAAACCAATCCAGATAATCTATATATATTAGAAATTATCCTTGGAATTATTTTATTTTTTAACTTTTGAGAGAGAGAAAGGCAGAGCGTGAGGAGGGGAAGGGCAGATGCCCTTAGTCTTTCGGATGCAGGGAAACTATGGACAAGAAGCTCCATAGCTACAAAACTGAGCACACAAAGTGATCTCAGGGAATGAGCCAGACCAGAGGTGTCAGAGGAAGACCATTGAAATATCACTCAATGCATTCCTTGCATTTGTAAGAAACACTTTGCCCAGAGATCTGGGAGTAATTTATCATAGATCCTTCTATCCCTGTGCAGAAGGAGTTATTCCCATTTTATGGCTGGGGAAAACTGTGACCTCAGTGGAAAGAAAGAAAGAAAAGAAAGGAAAGAAAGAAAGAAAGAAAGGAAAGAAAGAAAGAAAAAAAAAAAGAAACTCAATAACCAAAAACAACTTCGGGCTCCAAGCCAACTATAGTTCAAAAAGTAATTTGAAGTAAGATTACTTCTTGATTCAAGGCTGGATGTCTTTTTAATTTTTTTTTAGTGTTTATTTATTTTTGAGAGAGAGAGAGAGAGAGAGAGAGAGAGAGAGAGAGAGAGAGAGACAGACATGAGACAAAGAATCCCAAGCAGGCTCCAGGCTCTGAGCTGTCAGCACAGAGCCCAATGTGGGGCTTGAACTTAGGAACCATGAGAACATGACCTGAGCTGAAATCGGGCACTTAACCGACTGAGCCACCAGGTGCCCCCATGACTGGAGGTTTCTGATGAGAATCTATATAGACTCATGGTAGCACACAGGATAGGAAGCATCTAATAGATCAAAAGATGCCTTGATTCAGGTTGCACACCTAGGAACCCACCATCCAACCCCAGGACAGGAACACCACCGGCAGCTTCTCTTTCCCATCCTATTCCACTTGCCTCCCTGCCCCCAACCAGACAAAACCACTCCTGGCTTGTGTCACCTATAGATGATTAAACTGAGCCCATCCATTCAAAGGGGACAAAAAGAAATGCTGACGGATAGGAGTTGTTCTGGGGAGGGAAGTGGGAATCTGGAGGAAGAAGGAGGTTTTGTTTTACTTCTACTCTTATATCTGGATTTTCAGTATATATTGCCACTCCAATCAATGTGATTTTTACGCTGAAAAAAATCCAGTGTACAATATCACCATAACCCAATAGGTTCTTCTTCCTCAAACAGAACAAAACCTCCCCCTCTCTTGACAAGTAGAGTGGATGCCACATTCTTCTAACACCAAAGATAAACCAATATTTACCAGCTCAGGATTTTTTTCTGAATATTTGAGCTGGGGGGGGGGCGCGGGGGGGGCAAGGGTCACCTTTTCATTGAACAATGCTTGTTTAGTCTCCTAAGTCTTTAATGGGTTGTCCAAAATGGATGCCTCTTCCTTTTTTTTTCCCAGGGAGAATTAGGAAACTAAGGTTTCATAGCTCTGTTGTGATCTTGATTAATTTGCTTCTTAGGTGGTGTCTGAACTCCTGAAGGGGTTCAATGTGGGGCCAATTGGAAAACAGCCTTTTGTCACAGAGTGCACCACTTACGTTTTTTAGCAGAGCCACCAAGGGAGGCAGCGTGCCACAAGCAATCAGCTGCTGGATGTGCTGGCAGGGCCCTGCAGCCACGTTGCTCAAGGCCCAAGCCGCCTCCTTCTGGATGGAGGACCTGGGATGCATCAGGAGCTGGGGCAGCACGTTCAGGATGCCCGCGTCAATGGCCACCTGGGTCTGGTGATCCGTTCCTGTGACGATGTTCCCCACGGTGCGGAGAGAGGGGGTCTGGAAGAACAAGGCTGCAAGTGTAAGCAAGCTTTGCCAATTTATCACAACAGGAGGGGACAGTCACACCAAGCTATGTGCACTCCCAAATATGCGTCCTGCTATGTTGATGGTGCTCAGGAAACCTGTGAATGATGATCAAATCCATGATCTTTATTAATTCAGCACATCCGTAGCCATTTGCATAGTTTGAAGGTACTTGCTAGCCTCTCAACAGTTCCAGGTTCAGTGAGACAGAGGTCAAGGGATGGCTTTATTAAGAAATGACGCTGTCCTTTCCATAATCTTACACTGGGAAAATCGCTAAATTGATTACAGTATTTATAATGTGGTAACTTCTACTGAATTTGTATTTAGCAGGAGTGTCAGGTTCCTGCTGTATATTTAATTGGAGCTAATGAGATCCCAATGGCATTTGTTGATGTGTTCACAAACACCCTCTCAACTCTGAAGGTCCCCAGGATGGGTCTGCAATTGGGCTCAAGACAACAGTCCTCTGAGGGCTGACTGTGCATTCATTTTGGTTTCTCTGCACTGTAGTGGCTGCCCCAGCACAGACCACCAACAGTTCTAGAGTTTTCCTAGCCTTTCATGCTAGGTATCTGCTACTCAAGTGAGAGGTGCAATAGGCCAATCACAGCCTTGGCAGGATGGTTCCAAATGGGCCCTTGACACCCAGGACATACAGCTTCTTATTTCTTCTTATTCTCTTCATACCCTCCCTCCTCTCAATATCATCCCCCAAACTAACCTTGATGTCTGAATAATATTATGCTAATCTAGGCACAGATGATTGCGAAGCCTGCATAAATATACAAGGCTAGCCATAGAAGTCAAAAGGGGCACCCATGTTTTAAGGCATGTCTTCAAGAAGCTTATAAGTGACATGTTTCCTATCCTAGCCAAGTATTTGATGTTGACTTTGTTTCATTTTTACCTAGACTATTTCAGTAGTCCAATAACAAACTGGGGAGAGGATAAGAGGGAATTTTCTTTTACCCTCGAGTAAGAAATTTAAATGTTATAATGAGCTTTACGTTAGCACACACACGCACACACTCACGCATACCCTGCATTAGCCAACTGGTTAACATCCACATGCACAGACCACTGGAAGGAAAGGCCACAAAAGGGTGGAGGGACCAGAAGCAATTCCAATGTGCTGCTTTTCTATACTTTCTAGTTACCAGATTAAGAAAAAGTAAGTTACTTAACATCCACTAGGCTTTTCGATCAAAATACATTCAAGTCCTTGGCTAGACAGTAGCAGAGACCAGGGCAATGCAGACCACAAGCTTTGTTCTAGGTAAAGTATTAGAGCTGATGGTGGGAGAGGTCTCACTCAAGTGAGTATGACTCCCACATTCTAGTTGGAAGGTTCATACAGAGACAGGCAGGACCAGGGACATTTACCAAGATATTGAGCTCCGAGCTGGTCATGAGCTGGACCAGCCTGGGTAGGACGCCCGTGTCTACCACTTGGCCGATGCGCTCATTACAGCCATCACTGAGGTAGGACAGGGCCCAACAGGTGTCCGAGAGAACCTCGCCATCTTCATGCTGCAGGAGGTGGAAGAGCACGGGCAACATTTGCTTCACTGCTTTCTTGCAGGGGTAAGGGCTCTTGTTTCGGCAAAGGTTGGACAAAGTCCATGTGATGTTCCGCAGAAATGTGATCTGTAACAAGGAGACTGCTTCCAGCATTGGGGGCAAAGAAGGAAAAAGGCCAATGGCTACATGTCCTTGCCATATTTCATCAATATTATTGACCAGTGTGAAGCAAAGAATTTGAGCTTCATGCAGACTTTGTTCTCAGTAGTGATGCACACTAGGGAGACTGAGAACGAGTTTAGGTTTCCTATTCAAATGTTATATGTAGGATCCTTGGATTCTTCAAAATGTCCCTCCCACCTGGACTCAGTTGATGACCCTGTTTTCACTTCTCATCGACAAAACAAAGGTCAAGCAGGAGTTGCTTGGTCTGCCTAGTAACCCTACCAACATGTGGCAACCACATTTCTGATCTTTGTTCAGGGGTCAGTCTTCCTACTCCACATCTGGATCCCATTTTTGCCTTTGAAGATTCTGTCCCCACGACCACCTTTCTGCCCTGGATCGCTCCCACACTCTGGGACCCCTCCGTCTCTCTAGCCACGGTCCTGCTTCTATTTTTAGAGTCCAGCCCTCAAGGATGTGTCTATATTTGCGTCTACCTTGCAGCTTCTTACTTGTTCTTCCACCCCTCTGGTCTGATTTCTGCCCCTACTTCTTTTTACTTAGTGATGAAATCAGCTTTTTCCAAGTCACCAAATCCAACAGCTGCTTTTTCAGTCTTAAAGTTACCATCCCTATCAGAGGTATTTAGTACCCCTCTTGAAAAAGCTCTTTTTGGCACCTATGACCCCAAACCTGCATTTCTATCGCCAAATGGGCTGTTTCTTCTCAGTCTTTGGGGTGGGCTCTGCCTGTCTTCGGAGTGTCAGAACTCTTGAGACTTAGTCACAGGCTCTTCTCATACTCTAGGTCAGGGGTTGGGGCAAATTCTTTCTATAGAAGGCCAGATAGTAAACACTCTCAGCTTTATGGACCATAGGGTCTCTCTGGTGCAACAAGTCATCTTTGCCCTTGTAACATCACAAAAGCAACCGACAATATGGGCATAAATAAATGGGGATGGCCATGCTCCAATAAAACTTTATTTATAAAAGTAAGCATCTAGCCCTGCTCTAGTTGATCTTGCCCAGCTGGATGACAGATGTGTGCACAATCATCTAGACCAACATTATCCATCCTGACATTGCTACAATGGTGTCTCTCACACTCTTCAACTTAATATGTACAACTAAGGCTCTGATTCCTTCTTCCCTCCATCTTCCCATTTCTCTAGGAGGACCGTCATAACAAGCTAACCCAAAACCGGAGGGCATCCTTGCTTCTTTCTATCTCCCATGTCCAACATGGCAGCATCCCATCTCCGTTTGCTATCATTTTACAAGCAGCCAGAAGGGTCTTTCTAAAAGATCAGATCACTTCACTTCCTGCCTTGAGATCCTTCAAAGCCTTCCCTCTGTCAGCATGAGGAAGTCTAAGTCCCTTGCCCTACTTGTCCTCTTACATTGCTCTCTCCTTGTGAACTCCCTGGTCATGTCAGCTTTTTTCTGGTTCCATTAGGTCAGGTTTTCTCCCACCCTGAGGGCTGGGTATTCCCTTGGCTTTTAGAAGCTACCTTCTCTTCATTTTTGTTTGAAGCAAATCTAAAACCCAAATTTATTTCCAGTGGGGTCAGGGTGGGGGAGCTCTATTGTTGCCACATCAATCAACTCTGACTCTAAGCTTCAAATCAAGACCCAGTACCCAGGAACAGAACTGGAGACCCATTAATTCCATCTGTGCCCCTTGAATGGAGAGCTTAGTCATCTACTTTTGAAGGGCTATAATTTTAGAAAAACTCTAATGGAACTCTTCCAATGCCACCACCCCCCCAAAAGTAAAATCAGCACTAGTGGCCCCTGGGGGCAAATTTCCATCAACCTCTACCCAAGGTGATATTCAGTCCTAGGTCTTGCTTATAAGTGCTGTCCTAAGGGGCAAGGCAGCACCCATATGACCTAACTGACTTGAAAATACTTCCACAATTTCAGAAACGTGTCACCTAGCTAGCTTTTCTACTTTAAAGACACTTACAGGTATGGTTGATGAAACCAGGGCCAGCAGATGTGGAATGGCATTGCTCGAGATAACCAGGTCTCTGAATTCTGGGCCATCACCTTCAAATAGATAAGAATGTGACATCTGAACAGGGAACAAAGAGAATCCTGGGGGTAAGTGACTACTTTTTTAAAAGCCTGTGCAAAGGGTGAGATGCCAAAATGCATTCCTGGGTTGGGCAAATACTTAGGATACCCATGAACTAGATTCTCTGTCTCCATCATGTTGGTTGGGTAGATAGACCAGATGTGGGCACCACACAGCAATGACTGTCATAGTCAGTCTGTGGACACATGAAGGAGCCAGCCAATAGCCCAGGAAGTGTCCTCGAGACCCTAAATGCCGATGGTACTTCATAGCATGGTTCTCAAGAAGATGAAGGCCAAATTGTCTTCCCAGAAGATGTTGACATGGGACAGAGGCTTCCAAAAGCAACTCAAAACCAAGTCTGGGGGATGGGTAGATGCTAGCCATCTGCTATCTGCTGCTCAAGCGAGAATACCAATTTGAGACCCTAGAAGTCTCAGTTTGTAATTCTTCAACCACCAGGACAAGGCATATGTTACTTTATACCACCCGATTTTGCCTGTTCCTTACTGAACCAGACAAAATGAGGGACAAAGTCTCTGTAATAGGTGCTTCATTTCTGCAAGCATTTACCACGCAGACTTACTTTATAGTCTGCATTTGCTATCCCAATACCCTAAGTCCTTGGAGGTCTCATCACAGTGTTTGCTTCTGCTGATTCAGTCATGGTGGGTTGTTGACTCTCTGAACTTGAAACTGCTAACATTTGGCTGATCTTAATTTGTCAAAATCCAGAGGGGCCCAATTGAGTTCATATCCCCCCTAAGAGTATTGTATTTATATCCAGCCAGGAATGCTAGAACTTTCAACACTGTCGCACTAACTCCTCAGTTCGTGCTTTCCTGGCCCATGCAGGGAATACAGCAGCAAGCCCCAAACTCACAAGGCCATTTTAGGATTGCATTTTCAGGGAAGACTTTTACCCCAAACTGAGGAAATATTATCTTTTGTTACATTCCCTTGGCAGCTTTTACGGGAGGTAGAATTTTTTCAAGGTCCTGCGTTATGAATGGGTGTGTCATAAATGTCACAGTGCATGGGTCAAAGACTGGTCTTCTGTTCCCGAGGCCATTGAGACCTGAGGCCGTAGGACCCCAGTATTGGCAGATGGCCTTAGGCGGCCTTTAGCTTTCAGTACGTACTGCATCATCTAGTTTCAGCTTTAATTTTCAGCCTCTGAACTTGACTCTGAATTTTGGAAAAGCCTGTCAGAGCCTCCCCACTGTTTCTAGATATTTAAACTCAGATGATCAAGTCTATGATGCTACCCAAAGAACTCCCATAGCATGCCAGGCCAGGTGCCTGACCCACTGGTTTCCTAGCCCTTTATGAGGAGAGTCTTACCTGCTATATTACCAAGGGCCCATACTGCCTGTTCACACACAGTCATGTGGGGGGAAGACAGGAGCTCAACCAAAGGTTGGATGGCCCCACTTTCCACAACTGCCTGAGTCTGCTCTGAAGTCCCAGAAGCAATGTTGGTCAGAGCCCAGGCTGCCTCGAACTGCAAGCAGGGGTGAAGTGAGGACTTCAGGAACTCCACCAGCCTGGGAATGAGCCCGGCTTCAACAATCAGTTTTAGAGGAGGGTTCCTTTCACGGGACAGCATTTTCCTTCGCAATCAGAGGGAAAAAAATAAAAGCAAGTCATGTGAGTCTGATATTAAGAACCTCCTTTATAAATGCTCTTGGCATTTCTAGCTATCAAACAAGACTAACAGCTGGGCCAGAGCCACTTAATATCCTAAAGTCCAGCCCATGGCACTTGGCAGTGATGAAGCAACATTTTTCCCTTCAGGTATTATCTATGAGCAGAGATTCCTATAGAGGCCAATTTAAATTAAGCAATTCATCTCTGACAACACTTGCATATCTTAAGATGTTCTCAAGGACAGTGTAGAGGAACAATTTAGTCTTGCTTTTGAACGGACTCACCTTCTCTTATGTTGCGTGGGCATTTTGTCACTGCCACAAAACCAGGAAGGCCCCTGAAACTTATTCCTAGCTTGGAACCTATGAATAGCAGAAGTCTGTTTAGCCATACCTGGCTGCCTGGGTGGCCTGGAAACATAGGTCTGGATCTGAGGCATTCACACCATTGATTATTTCTTGCAGGTTGAGGCTGACCTGCAAGGACAGATGCTTTGGGGTCAGAGTCTCTGTGAAAAGGAACCATGAAGGTCATCTGGTCTAGCCATCTATCTGATTAGAACAAGCTGGCTTGGACAGTATGCTTGTCTGCATTATGGGAGAGAGAGATATTTGGTGGTCTTATAGGACACACAGATCTGTGGGACCCTTCCCATGCTCTGGGGAAGGGGTAATTCTTATAATCACTTGGATTCCCAGCACCTTTTCATTCCATGAAGAACATGCTAGTTATGATCAGCAAAAACAGAGTAAGGATCTCCAAAAATTCTCTTCTCCAAAACACCACCACTACCACCACCAACAACAAACACAAGTAGAATCAACCTTCCAAACTCTAGAAACTGACCAAAGGCTTGTAGCCCAATTTGTTTTGAGCCAAAAAGAGATTATTCAAGAAAAACAGCTAATCGTGAAAAGAAGAATTCTAGGAAACAAAAATGCATCAACGTATGAACAGGATTATACATCCTGATCGACTGGGATCCAATCTGGGAAGGCAGGGGTGGTTCAACATGGGAGCATCAATGTAGTAGGACATATTAATAGAATATTAATTCGATTAATAGAATTAATAGGGGAGGAACACAAAATTATCTCGATAAATGCAGGGTAAGAGCATTTGACAAATGCAACCACCCTTCCATGATAGAATAGCTGGAAATAAAAGGAAACTTCCTTAATCTCATAAGGTCATTTTTTTTTTCTATAAAAAAAAATCCCCCCTCGAGGGAGGGGAGGATGGGTGATGGGTATTGAGGAGGGCACCTGTTGAAATGAGCATTGGGTGTCGTATGGAAACCAATTTAATAAATTTCATATTAAAATAAATACATAAATAAATAATAAAAAATAAAAAAACTCCACCTCTCGCATCACAATTAATGGTAAAAGATGGAAAGCTTTCCCCTTAAGATCAGGAACAAGACAAGGATGCCTCCTTGCTCTTATTCAACATAGTATTGGAAGTTCTAAACAGATTAATTAGGTAAGAAAAACAAAGCCATCTGGATTGGAAAAAGAAGTAAAATTGTCTCTATCTGCAGAAGACAAAAACTTGTATATGGAAGATCCTGAAGAATCCCCCCACATACACACAAATTAGAGCTAACAAACAAGACATAGCTAGGCTGCAGGGTTAACATACAAAAATCACTTGTATCTCTATATAGTAGCAGTGAACACTCCAAAGCTGAAATTAATAATTTTATTTACAATAACATCAAGAAGAATAAAAGAGTTGGGAATAAATTTAGCAAAAGAAGCACATGACTTACATGCTGAAACTATTTTAAAAAATTAGAGAGGGCCTAATATATTAAAAAATACCCCATGATCATGAATTGGAAGACTTAATGTTGTTAAGATGCCAATACTCTTATAAACTGGTCTACAGATTCAGCATAATCTCCATTAAAATCCTAGCTGTCTTTTTAAAAAAAAAAATTGAATTTATTGTCAAACTGGCTTCCATACAACACCAGGTGCTCATCCCAACAAGTGTCCTCCTCAATGCCCATCACCCATTTCCCTTCTCCCCTACCCCCATCAACCCTCAGTGTGTTCTCTGTATTTAAGAGTCTCTTATGCTTTGCCTAAATCCTAGCTGTCTTGCTAGAAGAAATTGGCAAGTTGATTCAAAAATTCATGTGGAAATGCAGGGGATTCCAAATAGCTAAAATATCTTGAAAAAGAAGAACTAAGTTGGAAGACACTTCCCTATATCAAAACCACCACAAAGCTACAGTAATCAAGTCTGTGCTACACAGACATAGGGTAAACATGTTGATCAATGGAAGAGAATCCAAAGTCTACAAATCAACTCTCACATGTATGGTCAGCTGATGTTAGACAAGGGATTTAAGACCATTCAACGGGGACAGGATGGTCTTTTTGATACTGGGACAATAAGATATCCACACATGGGATGATGAAATTGGACCCCTAACTCACACCATTTACAAAAGTTTATTCAAAATGGATCAAAGGTCTAAATGTAACAGCTAAAACTATAAAACTCTTAGAAGGAAACTTGGACATAAATCTCTGTGACCTTGGATCAGGCAATGGATTTTTTTTTCATGTTTATTATTTTAGACAGACAGCATGAGTGAAGGAAGGGCAGAGAAAGAGAGAGGGAGACAGAGGATCCGAAGCAGGCTCTGTGCTGACAACAGAGAGCCTAATGCAGGGCTTGAACTCATGAACCATGAGATCATGACCTGAGCTGAAGTTGCTTAACCAACTGAGCCACCCAGGCACCCAAGGCAATGGATTCTTAAATATGATACCTAAAGCACAAGCAACCAAATAAAAAAAGTAGATAAATTGAACACTTTCAAAATTTAAGACTTTTGTTCAAGGATTCTACTAAAAAAGTAAAAATGACAATCTACAGAATAAGAGGAAATATTTGCACATCATGTATCTGGTTAAGGGTCTAGTATCCAGAATAGACAGTGTAAAGAACTCTTACAACTCCACAAGAGAAAGACAAATTACTCAATCTTAAAATTGAGCAAAGGGTTTGAATACACATTTCTCCAAAAGATACACAAATAGCCAATAAGCACATCAAAAAATGATCATTAGTCGTTAGGAAAACATACCAAAATTGCAACAATATAGCCCTTTGTACTCACTAGATGGCTACAATCCCAGAATGGACAAGTGTTGGTAAGAGAGCCAACATGTACAATGATACAGCTACTTAGTAAAACAGTTTGGCAACATATTTGTTTCCTATTGTTTCTGTAAAAATTACCACAAATTTAGTGGCTTAATACACCACATCATCTTCTAGTTCTGGACATCAGAAGTTCACAATCAGCTTCACTGGACTAAAGGCAGGGCTGGCTGCTCCTGGAGGCTCTGAGGAAAGAATCTGCTTCCTTGCCTTGTTCAGCTTCTAGAGGGGCCACTTGCATTCCTTGGCTTGTGACTCCCTCCCTCCATCTTCAAAGCACAATATGCTAATCTCCCCTTCTGTGGTCCTATCACCTGCTCTGACTTGTCCTTCATCCTTACTGTAAGGGCCGATGTGATTACACTGGGTCCATCCAGATAATCCAGGATAATCTCCCCATCTCAAGACCCTTAACTTAATCACATCTACAAAGTCCCCTTTGCCATACAAGGCAACATTTATAGGTCCTGGGGATTAGGAGATGGAGGTATTTGGAGGGGGAGCCACTGTTCAGTTTACCTCCAGCCTCAAAGAGTTAAACCGGATGACAATATGACCCGCAATTCTCCTCCTAGGTATGCTCCCAAGAGAACTGAAAACACATCCACACAAACATTTGTGCACAAAGCACCATTATTCATTATAGCCAAAAAGTGGAAATGCAAATGTCCACCGACTAATGAATGGATAAACAAAACTTGGCATGTCCATACAATGAAATATTATTCAGCCATAAAAGCCATGAAGTCCTGGGACGCCTAGGTGGCTCAGTCAGTTGAACATCTGATACTTGATTTCAGCTCAGGTCATGATCTCACAGTTTGTAAGTTTGAGCGCCAAATTGGGTTCTGCACGGACAGTGTGGAACCTGCTTGTGATTGATTGATTGATTGATTCATTCATTCATTCACTCATATTCTCTCTCTCTCCCTCCCTCCCCCTCCCCTACTCACATGTGTACACGCACATGCTCTCTCTCAAAATAAATAAACTTGAAAAAAAAAAGGTATCAAGTATTGACATATGTTACAACACAGACAAGCCTTGAAAACATTATGCTGAGAGAAAGAAGCCATGTACAGAAAGTCAGAGAATGCTAACAGCCATTGCGTTTAATGGCTGCTAATGTGTCATCAGATCTACTTGCCCAGATCGAATTTAGCTCTGCCCTGTAAGACTCCTAATCCTAGCAGGGTGCAATAATGCATGTGGATGGCTAAGATGGGACACAGACAGTGGCAGATCATAAAAGGATGTAGAGCCACGACTATCAGAGTCTAAGAAGAGAAACTCCCCAGTCAAGGTATTCCGGAAAGGACCCATGAAAGACAGCATTAGGCTGCACATCAACGCAGAATTTGCACTGAGTGAGGTTGGGGTGGATGGGGAACTGATGATGAAGGACAGCACTCGGGTCCTAGGCAAGACTTTATATGCTGAGTGACTAGATGTAACCCCTCATTTCTTATTTCTGGCCGAGGGATGGTAAGTTCATTTCCATTAGAAGCTGCACTTCATCTACCCCATGTCGCTCAGAACATAGATCCCAGACTCACAGACACAAAGATAATGGCCCTTCGCTTTCCAACACCACCAGCTTACCTCTACCCCCCTCCTTAAAGACCCTGGATTAGCGTTTGCAAGTTCCGAATGTATTAAACATTTTCAAGCCCGAGAAACCTGCTGAGGATGGACCTCCCACACCACCGTCCTGAATGCCATATTCCCAATGTACGTACCCCTTTGGTTAGTTGTTCAGAAGCTGGGTCAGAGGAGACATTAGTGATATTTCTCCTCTTTAAGGCCTGCTCATCTTTCTTGGCCTTCCGGAGCTCCAGGCTGACTGCCATCCGCTGTTGCCGCCTCATCTAACGAGAAAAAAGAAAGAACCAGAGCCCTTAGAGCAGGGGAGTCAGGCTGTCACCCCATTTAGCTAAAACATGCCTCAAAGCGTCTGATTTCACTTTTACAGTGACAACAGTAAACAGTCCAGAAGAGTTAATATTACACAGTAAATAGCACGGTTTACCTCCTCTGCTTTCTCCTAACACCACATCCAGAAAAGTAGTTAACTTTCTTCCCAAAGTGAAGGAAGCCTGTCTACATTCTCGGCAGGCCAGGACTCTCAGCTGTAGAACCATCCAAGCAAAGTGTACCATTGTCCCGAGTCTGAGCACATCTCTATCAGTACTGATTGGTCCCGCAAGGGCAGGCCTGGGCCTCCCAACTGGAGATCCAGGCAGGGCTGGGGACTATGGCCTCTGAAGACATGACCCACATGTCCCTGACCATTTCCACCATTAGGGATCAGTCTACAGGTCATTGGAGCCTTGATCCAGCCCTGGATACCAGACTGAGGGAGATTAAAATTAAAAACAAAACAAAATAGACCCTTTTATCTTGGTTCAGAAGAAACTCCTCGACTCTATTGAGAATCCTGGGGGAAATGATCTAACCTGGGTTCCCCACATCATCTTCCCCTCCATTTCTGATACATTCCAGCCGTGAGATTTTTACTGCACTACTGCTTCATAGGGCGAAGCAGTTGCTTGGTACTCACAGATGCATCTTTGCCTCGGTACTTAAATTTTCTCAGCCTCTCTTCTGGAGCATCCAAAGTCGGCATATTGACTGGAACAGTCAACCACCTGTAGGTAGGGCAGTTACCAGGAGATTTTCAGTGCCCAGTGTGTGGGCTCCTATGTGACGGCCATCCTTGCTCTAAGCCCCTAAGGGGCCCCCGGTGAATCGGAGAGCAGACTCAGGAGGCCAGCTTGCACGGGCATCACCATACCAGGTCAACAAGCAATGAGCATCATGCAAGCACAAAGGAGACCAGCCCTGGGCTGCAGGAGGAAGGGATGCCTTTTAGACGCATTTTGGCTTGAACCTGGCCTGTGGTGGCTGGGGTAAGCTATAAGGCAAGCACAGAGCCGTCTCATGTGGCTGTGTCCAAGGAGTTCTGTACAGAGCATACGTGCAAGCCGGTGGTGCCCAAAGCAGGCTAGGACAGGAAGAGGTTGGCCCTCTTCTCCCACACCCAATCCACCAGCCCTTGGGTCAAGATGGTCTCCAGCATGACCCGCTCGTTCTAACTCTGGTAGATTGCCTCCACCCGGACCAGGCCACCATCACCTTTCAGCCACACTAGAGCAACTGCCTCCCAATGGTTCTCCCTGCTTCTACCATTGCTCTATTCCAATCTGTTCAATACACAGAAGCCATGTGATCTGCTCAAGATGAGCATCTGATCATTTAATTCTCCCCGATTTAAAACCCTCTACTGGCTGCCTGCTGAGTTTAGAAGAAAACTCAGTTCCTGTGATACCCACCCTGCGTGATCTGGCCCCAGCTCACTTCACCTGCAGCAACACTTCGAATTCCGATGTAAGCATCTAAGGATCTTCTCAGTCTGTTCTATAATCTCCACAGATTTTACCACCCACCCAATATTTTCTTGTTTATCTTCCTTTCCCTATTCCCAATCACGATGGGGTCACATGTGTCCTAGCTACGATTCCTCAGCCCTTTCACGATGCATGACATATAGTGAGTAGGTACTCAAATCTTTGAGGGTGGTGGGTGGTAGGTCACAAAGAGAGCTGGTCCCCAGTTAGAGGAGGTTATTCAAATCAGGCCACATTTTAACTTTCTACAAGGCAGCTGGGAATGACATTTCTTACAAGTGTGCAATGAACGTCCATCTGTTCCCAAGAATACAGGATGAGCCAGACAACACTGGAGAGAAAACTGGATAAAGAAGACCAGAGTTGGGGTGCCTGGGTGGTTCAGTCTGTGAAGCGTCAGACTCTTGATTTTGGCTCAGGTCGTGATCTCACGGTTCATGAGTTGGCCCTCCGTGCTAACAGTGGAGAGCCTGCTTGGGATTCTCTCTCTCTTTCCCTTTCTCTGTCCCTTCCCTTCTCTCTCTCTCAAGAATAATTTTTTAAGTTGTTAAAAAAAAAAAAAGAAGAAGACCAGAGTCTATTGCCTCTATTCTTGAGCATACAACAGCTGGGAATAATTTGGCCAGGAAAGACTAATTCAGACACATCAGTTTGGATGGGACCGTGTAGGCAAGTAGAATTCCAGAAGTAGAGAGCCAAGACCGAGGTCTTAAGAAGAGAGATGAACTCTGTTTGAGAACAGAACGAGAACAGAGTCTCGATGACATTCCTGGTAGGGCCTAAAAGAAAGAACCAGCAAGGGACCAGGCAAAAAGAGAGTTTGAGTCAGAACAAAAGAATGATAGTGTCTGAGGCACAAGCTGTAACAGCAGCTACCAGGCCACTGAGGACGATTCCCTAAACACAGTGCCACCAGCCAGCCACAGCTTGAAAGAGCAAGCGGGCTAAGCCTCAAGCCAGAGAGTAATCATGTTCTAGACTTTCATCTACTTTTAAATAATCTCAAATTCTGCTCCATAAGAAAGAAGAGTTGCTTTTAAGGACCAAAAGAACAGAACATCCTTTTTTTTAAAGTAGGCTCTACACCGAACATAGGGCTTGAACTTACCACCCTGAGATCAAGAGTCACATGCTCTACTAAGCCAGCCAGCCAACCACCCCTGGGACACCCTTTAAAACACCATCTCCAAAGAGTTTTGCTAGTCGGCTAGAATAACCAGGGTCAAGACAGTTATCAGCTGGAAACAGATTTGTGTCAGAGCAAGGAGCTTTACCTTACATCTCCAAGAGAGAAGGCACGTGGCATTTTATCAGTCTGGAGTAGAGTCGTATTAAGGGCTCAGTTCAGGGAGCAATGGCCAAAACATTTACTGCATGCCAGGAATGTCGGACACTCGGGATTAAATGAAGCAACATTAACAGGAAGGTGGAGACAGCCCCATTTTACAGGTGGGGAAATGGTGTCAGAGGTCACTCCCCACAGAAGCCCAGAGTGCCCACAGCTGTGAAACATCAGAGCCAGGACTTCAGCCTCGATCTGACTCCCACGTCTGTGCTTCGGATCACTAAGCTCTGTAACGAGGTCTGAGGAAGAAGACAAGTCACTACCACGGGTGGCACTCAATGCACAGGGGAGACGCTGGAAAATAGGAAAGCGTAGGTTTCAGCGAGGGAGGCCACTTCGTTGCCATCTCATCCACTGTTCGTGGCCCGACCAGCTCAGTCCAGGAGACCCTCTGAATGTGCATGAGGCCAGTTTGGTACAAGGGGATGAAATGCTTTTGTTTCGGGAGAGACCCAAGGCAGTGCCTGCTCCAGGACTATTGCCACGGGAACCACACATCCTTCTGCCACAGCCCGGAACGTGTGGCCACAAGGGAGCTTAGAAGTAGATCCAGGGGTTCAGGTGATCGCCACCTTCCTTCCAAATCAAGTATCAAGCGGAAGGCCGGTAAGAGATGCCCAAGCAGAAAAAGTTCAACTTCAGATGGAACAGGGTCCTTTCCCCTCCCCCACCCGCGGGGGCATCTCGAAGGAGCAGTTTGAAAGTCACGGATTTAGCCAAACCACTCATTTGGGGATAGTCTGCAAAGCAAAGCAAATTCTTCTGGCTTTCCCAAGTTCCTCTGGCCTCAGCTCCAAGTGTGCTCTCTTCCCCTCACGTTCCTATTTGTAGCGTCCAGAGAGCCATGACCCTGCCACACTTTACCAGTCAGTCGCAGGAAAGAGCCCAGGCTCGGAGGTAGGCACAAGATCAAAGTCAGAACCTGTCTTCGTCGGTTCTCAGAGTTTGAGATCCAAAGAAAGCCAAATTAGCTATTTAGGCAAACATCACCAGTGTAGAGGCTTTACTGACCCAACCTCTGGCCACCTCTGCTGCTCCCCACACACTAGGAGACTCCTACCCTGAGGGGCAGGTGGCAAGGGACCCTGGCCAACCTCATGGTCTCCCAGGCTCCCAAGCTGCTCTTGACTTTTTGTTCCTTTTGGGGGAAAGGGAGACTAGGGGACTTCTAAGTCTTGTTGATGGCACGGAGTCACTTTCTCCGGTTGGGGCATTACAGGCCAATTTTTAAATACTTTCCTAGGGGCGCCTGGGTGGCTCAGTCGGTTAAGCGTCCGACTTCAGCCAGGTCACGATCTCGCGGTCCGTGAGTTCGAGCCCCGCGTCGGGCTCTGGGCTGATGGCTCGGAGCCTGGAGCCTGTTTCCGATTCTGTGTCTCCCTCTCTCTCTCTGCCCCTCCCCCCATTCATGCTCTGTCTCTCTCTGTCCCAAAAAAAATAAACGTTGAAAAAAAAATTTTTTTAAATACTTTTCTAGATCCAGCCGAGCTGTTACCATCTTTCAGGAATTGAGAACGGTTTTCAATTAAGATCTAGATCATCCAAGAGTCAGCTTCTAGAAAGTATTTTTCAGATTTTTACACACATTCATGGTATAGAAAATTCAATACCTCAGAAATGGATTGAACATTAACTTCCATAACCTACCCCTCCTCCAAGTTAACCTTTAAAAATTCACAAGCGTACCAAGGGGCTAATTATAGAAGGGGGGTTTGATAGAGTTTGGCCACATGTTTCTCCACTTGCCTATACTGTGGACTTTTTTTTTTTTTTAAGTAATCTCTACGCCCAACATGGGGTTCGAACTCACAACCCCGAGATCAAGAGTCACATGCTCTACTGACTGAGCCAGCCAGGCACCCCAACTGGGGGCATCTATTGACGTATATTCAGAACTGCATCACTAACAGCCACTTCTTTGAACAGTGGGATTTGTTATAAGCTAAAACTACACATGGGGTTGGATCAAGGGTCATTCCCCGGGAAGGGCTGGGGTCACGGAGTGTGCATGGGTCCGAAAACTCGCACAGCAGGGCCGGAGTATAGGGGTGAAGAAGCAACCATGGGGGCATACAGGGCTGGGGGTAGGGTGCCACAGACACAGGGACCCCAACTT